TCCCCAATTCCAACCACGCAGAGCGTGCTCTCGATTGTCCAAACTTATGCCATACCAAGTTTTGAAGACTTTTGCTACACGGTCGAAATCCTCCTGCTTGAACCCATCAAGCTGTATTATGCCATCATTACGTGAGAGGATCTTGACTTCGTACCCGCGCGCCGCTCGGCTCCACTGCGCTTGGATAATCTGTGACTGGTCGCAAGTGTAGGTTTCGCCGTTCGCTGGCTTCCAGCCAAATCCTGAGTCGGAGAATCGAGTCGCACCAGGCTTTCGTGAGAGGTTGAGATAAATGTCGTTGAATGCCTCCCTGTGCGGCGTTAGCTTTCTCATCAAATATATCGTGCAAAGAGCGTCCTCACATATTAGCGATCGCACTGAAAATTCCAATAGTTGTGAAGGTAAGAGGTGGCGGGAATTGGTCGCTGGGAAGGCAGCAGCGGCGTTGTTGTTGCTAGAAAGTTGTTGCTCTCACTGGCAAACGCGTTCTGTGATTATGTAATAACCTTAGTCGCCCACCTCACGTGATAGCGCGCCTTCTCCTCTCGCGCCCCCTCACTATCATATTACTTGCCTCAAACGGCCCAGCTATCTTACATTTTACTTTACTTTACTTCAATTGGAATTTTGTTCATAGAATATAATGAAAGCCTTCATGGAGAAGCTTTATTGATTAATGAACAGTGATGGTGCTAACCTATGCCATGGAAACGCGGGTGCACACAAAGTACTTGAAGATTGCGTTCTGGTATTAAGATAGCAGTGTGAAAACGAGTCGTCACAATTTAGTATATTACTTTTAAGTGCGTTGATACATATCTTGCGGGAGGCTACAATGTACTGGCTATCAGCTTCAAGCAACTACATTCTCCACTCTCCCAATTCGCATGTTGATCTGTTTGTCACAACACAATCAGACTAGTTGTTAGAAAGTCTCTCCCTTGATTTTTCTTGACTTAACTTCGCTGATGGAAACCCCATTGATCAAGGCAAATGGGCTGATTCTCATCATCTGTGCTCTTGAAAATTCGGCAGTCAGCACTACTTCTTATCGTCTGAGAGCTCTATACGAACATTCCATGGCTCAGCTTTTTCGACATCTACGACTGGCTTTGGATGCACAAGCCACAAAAAGGGTGCCTTGGCAGACATGGAATATACACTGTCTGACTCGGGGTTGCGTGTATCATTCGCTTACCTTAACCACCAAAGCCTACGATGTCTGCCAACCTTGATTTCTGCCACGCTATGATCTGATAAGTGAGCCGGTGCGGCCCAGGCCATTCTATCCCTGTTGCTATACAATCGGGTCATGTATAGATTTCGGGGCACTGTAACTACATTGGCGTCTGTTGAAGCAGAAAAGGGTAAGCAAATCCTTTACCATATAACTGCATAGGACGTGCCTTGGAAAACATGGCTACATCCTGATTAGATTGAGTAACACTATCTGTTGGCTCTCAGATATAGTAAGCTATGTGTCGTGTTTTGGGTAGTTCCAAGTTGTTTGGTGTATTAATGGTGGGTCTTTTATACAAAACAGGTAGTTATACCGGTACACTTCACAACGGCCCCGGTCACATCTCGGACCGTTTTATCCGATAGCATGACGTCGCATGGGTTGATCTTTTAGCGCTTCCAGTACAACGGTTGCCGCAAGTAATCGCCCATGGACGCTGTTTGCATTTCTTGATGGTATCGTTCACCCCAGCTTACCGGAAACTTGGATGTCTGAAGTAAAGCCGGAGTTCCGTCATGACGCAACATTTTCTCCGGGTACGTATTCGCTTCTGCTAGACTGTAACCATGGTCCCATATGGGCCCATTATTGTCACAGCCTGGAACGCCTGCCCCTAGCTATCGACTACGCCTACTGTCTGCCCACTCTTAGTACCCTGGACTAGAACATGTATTGGCATCAAGGTCTTCGTGGTGGTGGACGGCATACAGGGATACTATTTGGCTGAGCTATGTGTATATATGCAACCATACACAATTTCCTATTTCTGCTTAGTCATATACATATCTCTACGATGTTTTCCTTGTATCTTTTAGTCGAAGCTTTGTAACGAAGTAGAATAACATAGGACTTCCCATCTAGAAGAAAGCAGCAGCAATCAACGTCTGTGTTTCTCTCTCCCACAGTACCCCTCCTTCTAATTGAGTGTTCGAACAATATCAACGCAAGTAATACATGGAGTCACATACACTACTCAGTGATTGATTCAAGGTTGAGAAATTCTGTGCCTATGCTGACGCATTTCTGATAAGACTTCAGGTATTGCCTACACGTTTGGTTCGAGGGGGTCAAACACCGATACCAAGCTTCGCGAGCGGTTGTAAGCGATTCATTAATCCATCGGCTTAGCGTAGCTCATCGGATGTTGAAACGAGACCTTTCGAGAGCCACTTTTGACTAGTGCAGATCTTTGTTTTTTGCCATCGTGTTTTTGTCGAGTCAAGATTTCTGGTATAGTCGTTTTACTTGTCTTTTAAGTGAAATTTGCTCAGCGGATTTTCGACTAGTAGAGCGAGGTAACATTAAAATTACACCAGGAGATCTTACAAATACCCTTAGCGCCCTATGATCTACATAGCTGGCCACACTAGTACGCTGTTTAGACGATATCCTAGCTGTGTATGTTAGGCCTTTCTGTATGAAGGTTGAAGTATTGCGAATCAATTCCTTAATGAAGCCCTCACCCGAATTGGTTGAACTATTGGTAAACCCTAGATTTCCAATACTAGCTTACTAATTTTCACCCCTTGACACAATACGTATCGACTTTTCTGTTTTCCCCTCACAATTAGTATGCATTACTCTCTTGTGATAAAGGGAGCAATACTAGCACAGCTTTGATCACGTAAACGCAAATAATTGGTGTTTAGTGAGAATGAGACAGGAAAGGCGCCAGTATGTGTGATAGTTCGCTTGAACAACGTGAGACATACCACCAGGCTCAACATATCTAGATAATTCCCGAATAGCGGCGTCAAATGGGCTACTTGTGCTTCTCCTCCAAAGCGATTCAGCTATGATATTACAGTTTCGTAGAAGACAGCATCATTACCGACACCTTTTGCTGTCAGGTTTGACTACCAAGATAGCGAAGCACCACAGGGTACGCATTGAGTCTCCGCGACTCGACAGGGCGAACAGTGAAAAAAACTAGAATTTATGTGGATTAGTGATCTTTTGGTTCAACACCGCTATGCATGAGGTCTTAGACGTTGGATGGCGTCGCCGTGTGGTGATCTAGTTGGTGTCGCATGCGTCCGACAGGCGCTTGGAGAGAGGGGTTACTATGCTGCACTCATAATTACGCCCGTAACTATACAAGGCACTCACTCAAATGTGATCGAGCTGCATAGATCACAGAACCCAATCGTGATAAGTGAATGAGGTATGTGGCGCACAGCTGGGGCTGAAGCTGAACGGAACAATTCGTCACGGGGCTTTTGACCGATCGTGACGGTGTATGTACGTATCGGATTAGTCTACTTTGCGATTACTTTGCATCGAGCGCTAACACCAACCCATGCCTTTCTCCTTTTGGCTATAATATCCCATACATACTTGTGTAGGTTTACACAACATTTCGCAATGGATCCTCCAAGTTTTGTGTGTATTGGCTTTTGACACTAACTCTTGTATTCAGGATGTTGTCATTGCTCCCAGTCTATTAAATTAGCGTCCTGCACCTGATTTGCGTGATCAGCAACATCAACAACGCATTCCAATGAAGCAGTAGCGTCTCAACCAAAACCCATGGTTATGAGTGTTTTTTGTTGAAACATTCTTCGTAGAGTTATGGTCCCTGCAAGTAGCAGAGATTCGAGCTCTGATACCGGGCCTTACACATGGCAAAAGGACCACGAGGTAAGGATGCACTACGAACCCTTTACCTTGTTTTCTTGTATTCCTTTTTGGAGGGATTGGGTTGGCGTATGATTTGCTAGCAGCTTCGATTTTGGTCTTGGTCGTGGTCCTGACGCTTCATATTCCAGCCCAATTGTTGAGTATCTGTTCCCCTTCTTGCACTATTGATTAGCTTCATGTGCCTTTTGGTTTCCATACCTTTTTGTGTCTTTCTGGTCGTGATATCTTTGAAATCGGGAATCCTTCTCAAAATCCTCCTGTTTTACCTTAATCTTGAGTGGTATGTATACTCTCTGCGCTTCAAGCACATGTCTTTAGTGGAGCAGTCTCTGCCTTCAGTATTAATGAGCAAATAGCCCAAACTGTTGGCTATCCGACCTCTTGGTGGACTACAATACGTAGTACTGGAGTAAAAACAGTCCCTACCAAAACTAAGCCGTTGTTTGTAACCCGTCGCCTTCACCACCGCGCATTATAAAAAAATATCTAACCTACCAGAGTGCTAGAGTTCTATGTACAGAGCGATATTTTATCAGAAAGAATCGTATAAATATATAATGCTGGTGTGGAGTTGGGTCTTACTACTCTTCCGCTGATTTGGTGGGAGACGTTTTCATCCGGGTATCTTGGTCCACCGAGAGCTGACGTTGGATACGTAGTATATGATATGACATGGCTGCTGATTTCCCCTGTACCTTGAAACATTATAACAAGAGTCATGCTAGGCCTAGGAATAATTGGAGTATTGCTTCAATCACTTCAAAATCACATGTACCGGAATCTGTAAGGTGATGCAGAACAGATACGGCATTAGTGTATTGGCGAAGTGGGGCGTGTTAAGCTTTACTTTTTCCGATGTTAATTTTTCTTCCGGAGCGTTAAACAACGAAAGCGCATGCTGTTCCCCGACCGGTTATTTGTGGTTCAGCCAAGTCCGACTACTGTAGTAGCACGGTGCGCTTTAGGCAAGGACCTAGTAAACCCTAAAAGAGTCACAGTTGGCTGATGAGATCATCCATTATAGCCTCAACTTTGAACCTTTGAGTTCGAACATCAAAACTTCATTTACGAGCAGCCGACAGTTTGCGGGGGTGTTTTCTTACCTGATACTGTGACAAATATGGAAGAAAATATAGGACCATCTGCCGACAATATGGCCGGCAAGCGTTCGGTGCGATGATCAACCTGTTCCTCACCGTTGTTCTGACATTTCGGCTGTAGTGCGAATATTGTCGAACAAAAAAAATCCGCTGCGACCGGACTGTTCCGTGCTCAAACTGTAGAATGAATAAAGCCGGTAAGTCTGATGATCAGAAAATCAGTCAGGGTCAAGCCTTGTTCACAGTATAGCCTTGCACCCGGATTCCCAATATGGTGTATCCCTATAGTCCGCGGAGATCCACTAACTAGTCAAGATTGCAAAACAGTTGTACCTGAACAGAAAACCCCAAGAGTAAGAATCAATTTATCTGGAGAGTAGTGCGTATCCAACCTTCCATTTAAGTTAGGTATTTGACTCTGGGTAGTGAGAAGAAGATAGACCGTCTCGAAAGCCGTCTTGCGAGTATCGAAATTATTCTCGCCAAGATTGCTTTGAAGCTGGAGATCAAGGATGCATACACAGTGGTTGATGAGCAGGTTGTTCAGCCGAAATTGTCATCAACTCAAGTCAATGAGAAATCTTCCGTTACCGAGGCCGAGGCGACAACACCTACGCCTTTTGAAGGCGAGACTGGAATGAATAGGCAGTCAGACTATGTGCGAGAGTTGCTCGTTCAGGTGGTTGGTCAGACACCATCGATGGACCAAAATGCAGAAGTTAAAGCAGCCTTGACAGCACTTGAGGAGCTGGTTACGCCCAGCAACCATGGAGATATCTCCCCAAAGCTAAACACTCAGCAACTGACTGACCGATCTGTTACAAAAATTGACAGCGCAAAGTTAGAGCAGCCCCCCTGGAGTGTGGTGAAGGTCGCCATGGATAAGGCACTGGGTTAGTAGTCCCTGGCTTGGGAATACTTGGATCTGCTAACGCTTACAGAACATCCAACTATGATCTTTACTGCTTTCTTCCCTATCATTGATACGAGGAATCTCTATGAAGTCATCGAAGATGTTTATTCCAACCCCACCACGTGCACTACTCCACGTCGAATTTTTGCGTGTGGTGTATTGTTCAATATATTTTCAGAGTATTCATCGGCACCCTGGAGCGGCACTACCAAAGCGGATTTGACAAGGTGCGCGAAACTCACTTTTTCCCTCGACTCCCTTATCAGGATTGTATTGACTATTTCTAGATACGCCTCTTCTAGTATGTCGTCTATTATGATATACTACATAAATGTGCGTCATCTAATTCCAAGCGCTTACAGCTAGGGCACAGTTGGAGCTTGCCATAAGCCAGCTTGGTATACTCATATCAGCTAGCCATGAAAATATTGTAGCTCTAAGCTTGGGTACGGCTTGCGCAGTCGAGATGTGCAAACCGTCACTTGCTTGGATGCTGAATTCCTACGCCGTTGAGCTATGCCAAAATCTAGGTTACCATCGTTTCGCAACCATAAAGAACGACCCAGAAGAGGAGCGGAGACGTAAAATGCACCTGTTTTGGATGGTTTATTACTTCGACAAGCAACTGTCTCTGCGTTTAGGTCGAGCAAGTCTAATCCAAGATTGGGATGTGTCATTGCCTTTCCTTGCCACGGGCGATGCATCGCATAATGTTTTCGAAGAGAATGACATGCTTCCATATTGGGTCAAAGTTGCTAAGGTTCAAGGGCAAACATACGAGAACTTGTTTAGTGCAGCTGCATTCCTTAAAACGCAGACTGAGCGACACCAAACTGCTATAAGTCTCGTTCGTGCGATGGAACAAGCTTGGTATGAACGAGGCTATGTAGGTATCCCTGGCTCCACCAATCTAGCGAGTCCCATCGAAACAGAACTGCCTTTCAATTATAGACAAACATTATGCAAAAACTCTCAAGATGCCCTGAAACAGGGCGCTTATGGCATAGGTCAGTTCTTTTCATCTCTCAATTGGAAAACAGGGCCTAAATATATAGAATATCTTGATGATGTCGAGGATCTGTTTTTTCACACGGATGTTGTAGTACATTACTCAACATGTGCACTTATACACCGGGCAACGTGTTCAGAGAATACATTGAGCCAAGAATGTCTTGAGTCTTCTCGAGCGGCAATATTAGCGCATATGAGGTGTAACGCCCAATTCAACTCAAAAGCCAATACAGAGCTTTGGGCAGGATACATCCATTGGTCCGTCCTTCAGGTACGCAAGATGTGGAAATATTTTAATCATTGACTCGACTTAGTCGACCCGGCTGATGTAAATACAGGCTCCAATCACCCCGTAAGAATCTTCTTGATACATGCAGTAGCTATGGTATTGATTTTGATCAGCTTCATCGTCTTGTTTTGCAACGCAATTCAAACTGCCGATCGCACTGACCTAGATTCCCTCTCAGATTTCGTCACCAGCCTTGAGTCTAGTAAAACAGTCTCCGAGGGCGCAGCAAAGCTATACAGAATGTGTCTTCTTTTCGTGAAAGTAGCCAAAATCTACATCCAAGCAAAAGAGAAAGAGACCAAAAAGGGCCTGGCGTCATCTTTCCCATACCCGGGACAAGGCTTTTTCGACGCGACTGTGCCTGATACCTTTCTAGACTTTAGCACAGTCTCACAGTTTGGCCCGCATCTAAGCGCTCTTGGATTAATGTCCAGTACAGATTGGTCGATGCCTAGTTATGTACCAGATTCAACACCGGAAGGACAGGAGCAATACGCATCGACTGAAGCCATGAGTGGCGTGCAAGATTTCGACGGCGTAGGCATGGGCCAACAAGGCTTGGGTGTAAGCCAAAACTCTGTACAAGACTGGTTCTCAGGATCGCGATATTTGATCAACTTCATGGATTCGGACAACGATATGCAGATGCCTGACATGAACAACCCAAGTTTTTGATTAATAGTTCAAGGCTTGATCTCTCTTCTCTCCACTCGATTTAGCAAATTTGGGTTTCAGGTAGACTTTTTGATCCTCTTTAACCCGATTTCCGATAGAACAATCGACTCCTCTCTATATTATATCAGTCATATAACCTAAAGCAACACCAGACTCATCTCTCAACACCTCAGCATAAGCTCTGCTCAAATGTTCATCTCCGTCATCGACGATTTGACCCAGTGTATCGATCAAACTCTCTTTCAAGGGTGCAAAGAATCTCCCGACCCTGCGATAAATACCCTTTCCTATATCCAAAAGCTCGAGCACTAAGCCTATAATTGCCTCTTCATTTGACTTGCTCTGAAATACTAATAGTAAGTGTCCTTCTTGAATTTTTTCGTTGCCATCATCTAGGCAATCATCGGGCATCACAGTGCTTCCAGCGACGCTTTTGTTGCCCGGTAATAGCAGTTCTTTGGCATATCCCTCAAAACTCGCACGATGTAGACCACTGCAACGAATTCTCATGGTGGCACTGTTGATCGCTCCAAACGGATCGGATCCAGCGTATCCAATCTTAACATCCACTACGGATATCAAAACTGGTCGGTCGAGAAGAGATACATGTTCTGTGTGAACTGGTACATCCACAGAGGCCCATGACTAGCTTGGGGCGATGTATGCCTTCGTCTCCCGACGTGGCTCTGGAACCCAGATGAACCAGCACAATTGAGCTTCCAGGTTTTTTCTCCATAGCCCTGCTACATATTGGTCATTTGTTTGTTCATGTATCTTTCTAGCAAGGCCGGAGATGGCGACCAGTTTATCCTTGACATATGTCAATTTGCAGGCGCTATACGTAGCGACGATCCATGGCCACATCGAATCGTTTATTGTTTGTTTCCATAGAAATATGGGAGACATCATCATATCTCCCGGTAGTCTTTCTGGGAAGCTTTCACAGGCCGTAGTGTGATTACACTCCCAGAACAGCTCAGTGGTCGTAAAGTGCAGAGTACGCATGGCTAATACGCGTTCTTGGAGTACCCAGCCTCGCTCCATTAGTGGCATGCTAAGTAAGCATCGCGAATGAAGAGAGACGGGAGCTGCAGAATAATGAAGGGCGTTATGACTATTGTACAGCTGTAGCTTGCAGTTCCAATGAGCAGGCCGAGAAAAAAAGCAGCCGTCCCGTCCATCTCTCGCGCCAGCAGCTGCAATATTGAGACTCGAGTTTCCATAAACGATCGTCATCATCGCTGCTTCTCTTTCCCAGTCCATGATATCATCTTGGACGATACATAGAGTGTCCACCCAGATGTACTCGAAACCCAGATCACGCGCTATCGTGATGGCGTCCTGTACTGTGCGTGAGAGATCTTCACTTGGTATCTGAGTTTCCAATTGCTGCAGATTGCTCTTACTGAGGGTAAGATATTGAGTTCTTCCCCAACAGTGACTGAGTGTCGCATATTCGACCCCTGCATCCAACTCATCTTGCTGATAGACGCGGCACCGACCCATGGCAGTGCCAACCAGTCGCGTAGGTATGTATTGCGATGCACGATTTTGGCATTTTTCATGTTTCAAAGAACACGCTCGTAGCCATTCTTTAGCTATAGGAATCGAAAATCTCGTGCTTTGTGCTTCCTGTTCGCTTGTAGATGGTAAACTGACTTTTGCAGGAAGATAAGTGAGGGGCATACAACGATATAATGTTTGTACGTACATGGCTTGGGTGATGGATCTATAGTGATACGGTACATCATGGTTTCATTCTGCCGTGCCATCATCTGAGCTCCAAGAGTATCTTTGTCCGATGAGTCTCGTGAAAGCTGTGGAGAGCTCAATGTGGTCCTGCCTTCTCGCTCATCAAGTATCCGGAATTTCAGATCAAATCGCAGGAAATTCGCTAACAATGGAATGTTCGGGTCATGGAAATTACCAGAATGTACACTGACGCCCAGTGACTGATATGTGCTGAGCGGAGATATCTCCATATCATCATTAAAAGCGAACGACGATCGGGATGGCCCACTTCTCCAAAACTGGTAACACAGTGAGCAGTTGGATGCTGCGGCCCGTTCAAGTTCCGCAGGATTTTGGTGATGAGGGAAGTAGTGGCCCCTTTTTCGTTGCCAGCGATCCCAGTTGTCAAACATGAACTGGCAACGAGTACATAGTTTAGACAGTGCAGAATCAAGCCGAATATTCCAGTTTGAAAAGTCGAAATCGTTCTCAGTATCCTCGGCCATTTTCTCAGCATTAACAACAATAGGAATGAATACACTTGAGAAGACGCCGACCAGGTGTTGCTATGGTAGGGATTTCGTCTGCGTTCCTGATGAGGCATGGGGGCCTAAAAGGCGGGGCTGGTACGTACCCGGCCGAGCGCAATAAGGACATGTCCACCAACAACAGAAAGGAGGCAGCTAGGCTTTACAAAATACTACTGAAAACACAAGTTTAAGAATTCTTTAGTATTCTAGTTCTGATTATAGTTATGCCTCTTCTTGTAACCGAACTGTTTTTATTACAATTGCCCATATGAAGCATGTGATAAATCACCACTAGTAGGTACTACCCGACCATCGCATGTAAAGCGTGTCCAGGTCAGCACAAAATAGATGTTCGGTTCGATTGAACTGTTAAGTTGAAGTGAAGAGATGCTTCAATTGCAGTGACGAAAGGTAGTAGTACGCCTGACTCAGCATGCCCCTCCAGCTTCGAAAGCTACCCCGCCACTGATTGTATCAGCCCACCTTAAGGACAACAACAGCTTCACCTGCCATCATGACGGATCTGAACGCACAACAGGCTGAGAATCACTACTTTGACAACGAGCCCCCGCCAAAGGACCTCAAGGCAAACATAACCCTTGCGAGAGAATTCATCACACGCCATAACGATGACCACCGCCGCGTGGTGCTGGTCACTTCCGGCGGCACCACGGTGCCACTAGAACAACAAACTGTGCGCTACATCGACAACTTTTCTGCTGGTACACGCGGAGCTACTAGTGCCGAGTATTTCCTCCAAAATGGATATGCTGTCATCTTCTTGCACAGGCAGTTCTCGCTCTTGCCCTACTCAAGACACTATTCACATAACACGCGTTCTTTTCTGGACTACATGAAGGAAGAGAACGGCCAGGTCGTGGTGGACGAACAACATCAAGATCAGATGCTGCGCGTCTTGCGCCAGTATACCGAGGTCAAACGCGGAAACAAGTTGTTGATCCTGTCCTACGTAACAATCACCGAATACCTGTGGAATTTGCGCGAGGTTGCGCAACTCATGCGTCCACTCGGTCCAAAAGCCATGTTCTATCTGGCTGCTGCTGTGTCCGATTTCTTTGTACCCCAGGACCGCATGGTCGAGCACAAGATACAATCGAATGAAGAGTTCCATCAAGGCGCAGACGGCGTGATTGAAAGCAAAGCAAAACCTCCAGCGGCACGCACTCAAGGCAAAAGTCTCATCATTGATCTCGAGCCGGTTCCCAAGTTTCTAAAACAACTCGTGGACGGCTGGGCACCGGAAGCAATGATTGTAAGCTTCAAGCTGGAGACTGATCCTTCGCTGCTTGTCACAAAAGCCAAGTATGCGTTGAATAAATACTCACACCACCTCGTCATTGGAAATTTACTGCTCACTCGTAAATGGGAAGTCGTGTTTGTATCGGTCTTTGAAGGCGAGAAATGGATAAGAGTACCCACAAGCCGTAGGACAAAAAGTTTGTCAGGCAGACCGTCGCTTGTTGGATCTGCTGATCAGCTGGCAAAGAAGGACGACGAGGCGGGTGGGTCAATTGCCACCGAACGGGGTATCCCGCAGGGCGAGCCCTCTGTGGAGATCGAGTCTTTGATTATTCCCGAAATCGAGTCCATGCATAGCAAACTCATAGAACAGGCTCAAAAAGGAGCTGCGGCTTCTTAGCAATGACACACCCCATATACAGTAAGCATCTCATCTCACTATTTATAATGTTGGTCTGGATACCATCCAGGAAAAAGTTTCATCTCCATATACGTGTTCGTTATGCATTTCATGTACACATTACAATTTCATAACTGCTTCTTTCACTCCAGGATGACCTTCCATTGTGCCACCGCATGCCGTGCACTTGCTCCATACCATATGAGCAACAGTGCTCCTATGGTCACAATTCCAGCGAATACACCAGCCATTGTGCCAAAGGCATTGACATAGCCAACATCAGCGACCCAAGGCACTACGCCGTACAAGAAACCAAAAGCCACGATATTCTTCAACCCATTGATGAGCAACATGACATCCGAGTTGACTGGTAGCGCGCAATCACTGGCATACGCCAAGGTAATTGTGGGGATGGCGGTTAGCGAGACCGAGATCATTCCATAGCCGAAAAAGAGCGATACCCACGACAGCGCATTCTGCACACCATATCCAAACAGAACACTGCCTGCAGTAGTAAGCACGAGTGGAATGGCTATCAGATAAAGTCTGCTTTCGGGCTCATAAATGCCAAGATACTTTTTGGTCCGCCATCTACACCACATGTCTACAAGGTCACCTATATGCGATTAGGGTATTCTGCAGTGGTCCAATTTAGGTTCTCTTACCTCCGGCCCACGATCCAAAGACGTTACCCAGGATGCCAGGAATGTTGATAAGGCCATTAATCTGCACGTTCCAGTTGTATGGTGGTGCCTGCAGAACAAAGGGATTGAGGATGTTGACTGCGACCGTAAGGACCAAGGAGATTGAGTAACAGAGAAATGCGTAGATGGCTGCCGGATATATGATCATCGGAAACGGTCTTCCAAACATCAGTTGAATGCGTTGCCATTCTCGACTACTACTTACCGCACAAACATCTTGGCCAGATTGGTTTCGGAAACCCCAGACCATAAGCTGAGATCCTGTTTCCATGTCTTTTTTGGTAACTGTTCTAATGGTGTTCCGGGAGACGGCGACCCTTGGGGCAATTTCTCATCAGTCATGACGACTTTCTTGTTTGAAGGCGATAGGACCGTGTTAACTTGGCCAACCTCGCGCATGTATCTGGTTTCTGGCACAAAGAATAGGATTGTCAGGAAATTTATTCCTGTAAAGATTGCGGATATCCATTTCTGCCACCGCCAGGACAAATTCGAAACAATGAAGCCACAAATCAAGGGGCCAAAGGTATTTCCGCCTGCTATAGCGTTCCTGGTGCACGTCAGAATTTTTTTTTGAGATTATCCAAGGGCAGAAACGACGCGCTTACATGTATATTCCCATCTTGCTACCCCGCTCATGCAAGAAGTACAGATCCTAGACGGCGTATGAGTTAGAGGAAAAACAAGAGTATGCACCAGTGCGTAAGACAAGATGGGAAACCCACATTCACTGTAGCCGCACCCAACGCCTCGGTCGAAGACCCGGCAAATGCTGCGATGATGTTGCTGCATAGCACACTTTCGAATGAGGTAGCAACAGCACCCCACACATAACAGAGACAAAGCAACCCACTTGCTAGAACAAAGACTGGTCGTTTACCAAAGTAGTTGGCCATTGGCACCCAGAAGAAATTAAAAGCGCCAAGGACCAAGATTGGATAGGTAAGCAGGTGTGAGGTTTTGTCCATTGTCTTGTTGAACTCAATAGACATGATGTACAACGCTGGCGCTATGCCACCGATACCGAAATTGGTCAGAAATGTAAATGCGCACACTGATGCGAATGCAACATGTTTCTTCCACAACGGCCAACGGAGAGGATCATTTGGGTCTATTGGAGAGGGCTGTGGGTACAAGAGTATGTTTGATGAAGACTCTTCGCTAGTGGCTACGATAATTGTCAATCCCTTCGTCGAAATTGTTGGGACGTCAACCTACTCTGTTGCAACAACACCGTACCGTCCGTTTGATCCAAGTCCCTTAGACGCGTGAAGCGCATATTTGCGAAGCGTCTGCTACCACACTCCCCGACCTAAGTCGGACAAGAAGAAGATATCCGGGACCAGAAGGAGCAATTTGAGTGGATTTAGCTCTTCGTCCTCTCTACTACTAGTGGCATGGAAAGTGATCTCGGGGTAAGTAAACATGGTGAGCTATGGCCAGACGCAGGGCTATATACGTTTTGGCCTTATCAACTCAGCGCCCCGTGGTTCGCAAGACGCATCTCACTTTCTCCAAGACTCGAGCAAGTTGCATATCGATAGGCTTAGTGTTTTTGTTTCGGTTCGTTTGGTTGGCTGGATAATGGCGTACAGCTTGCAGGACGCATGAGTGTCGGGGGGGTGCGGGGCCGGTTGCCATTCCGTACTTGTTGTCGATCGATAGCTAGTCTAGGATGATGGGTGCCAGTGCAGAGTACATTCCGCGGTTGTTCATCAAAAGCAACTCTGGATGCAATTCCGAACACAAAAGGGGTAGAAAGAGGGTCACGGGAACGCAGCCTCCAAACCTGGTCGCCAGCTATTGTGTATCGATGCATAGGCCTTACAACGTCCTGGGAGCGGTGCCGTCACTGTCAACAGTCGAAGTCGCGCAAGCCCGTCCGTAGCATGTTTGGCTGATTGTCACCATCGGACTACCTGTGCTCTGATTGTGGCGTCCAGAGGCGCAACTCATCGCTGTATGAGATTGGAAAGTTGCTCTGTCGAAGGCAACGAGGAGACAAGGCTTTATCGTTATGGTGAAAGCGCCAGTACGAAGCAGTCATGCTCAGTCATGCTCAGTCATGCTCAGTACTTACAAGCAGGTGATATGCGACAAGTCACCTGCATATCCCAGCCGCCAGAGTTATTACTGCATGGTTGCGTGCCATCCCGTCCCAGTTCGGCAAGTTGCTGGGCTCACTAGCGTCAATGCCGCGGAACTTCTACGTTCAACACTGACCCTTCATCTCTTTCCGCCGACTAGCTCATCAACTGCCAGAACTGCAGCCCAGAAGCCCGATCAAACATCTACGTTACTACCATTCAACAACCACCAGTTGAGGTGGTGTTCGTGCTGCGGCCGGTGCTGAGACGATCTGAAATCTCTCCACGGATGACACCATGTGCAACGTCGGGCACAATCCTGAACATTGCGCCTGTTGCACAAGGTATCGGGACGGCGACTGGGCTTCCTGATGTTTACAGCAACTGATTCTGCTGTGGAGATGCTGGCGTTTGTATCTGTCGCAATCCCTGCTTTTTCGTCACTTCCAAAGCTCACTGTGAAGCTACAGTATACGGACTTTGTTCCTGACGACTGGAGAACTTCCTCGATAGCCAAGAACAACGAATAGTCACATCTTCATGATGTTGTGCTACAACTATCAGGCCCATTCTTATGCCTCAGGTCTGCAGCCGTGGTAGTACAAAGGGGTTTGAACAACAACGGCTCTCGCCGGTAGTCGAATTGAGCAGCACATCGAATGCTGCCCTTCTGGTTCCCCAGATCATCCAACAGGGTGGCCACCGCGGCCACTAACCTGCGCTGCAAATCATGCTGCACAGCGGACATGTAGTCAGATCCTAATAGTGTTTCTCGACATATGTCATGGTGCAAGAGGCATGTTGACAAGACAGTGCGCCTTAGTTATGCTTTTTCTTGCCCCGAATCCTGCTGCATTGGGCCACACATGACGCCTTGGGCTTCTTTACGGGACGCAAACTGAACATGGCATATCGCATCTTACCCTGAGTGATCAAAGACACCTCGATACATCACGGGCGCTACGTATTCATCGAAGGAACATCAATAGAGCACAGCACTAACCGAGTTGTGGGGGCGGTACAGGGTAACACCTTTCTACAACTTGTCCCTAGACTATTCCCGAGGAACCCAATCTCCGGGATTGGCTGGTATTGTGGCTTGTTTTGGTGGGACCATTATACTTGATAAACAAAGTGTCTCACCTCTTGGCTCCGGCACATTGAACATGTGCAACCATTTCTTGTGCTCAGAACCGAGTCTCTTGTTAAGGATCTTCTGCACTGATAGGTTCCCGCCTATCCCTCTCGCCCTACTATCTACCATCACCTTGCCTCTCTCTCGTGCGTGATTATACCACAGGAAATGGACCCCTCAGTAATGGCAAAGGATGCGCCACAGCAGTCCCCACCTACACCAGGAGCAGCGTCGGCCCCTGAGAGCCCTCGGTCACCCTGTTCACCATCCAAGACAGCCGAGTTATGGGACGGCTATGAAAGACTAGCTGTTGAGAAGGCGAAAGAAAGAGACGAACTGATGCATGAAACGCATGAACGAGACGACTGCTCAACTTCACGAACAAGTTTTGATTTTAGGTTTAAGCGGGCGCAAACTACGATTCCATCTACTACAACATCTGGTTGTAAATTTTGCGGGCGTCCCATCATATACGCCTCTGGTATGTGCGAAGGTTGCTTCAAACGCACCGTGGTTTCACCTGGTAATGAAGAGATTACAACACCGCTGGGTGCTTCTGAACACAACATGGCGGTTTCAGGCCTTTGCCAGATTCCTTCAAGAGAGGAAATCATCACACCAACATATGCCTCACCCAAGCGCGCATCATTCTGTCCACTACCAGCACACCTGACCGACGCCTCGACACGCACCTCGTCAACACAGCCAGGATCCGTAGGCCGCAGAAAGAAATCACCCAGCGAACCTACGCAGCCAAGTCTCCAACTGCAAATCACACCATCAACACATACGCCACGCTCGCAGGCCAACTCACCTCCGATGACACCTACATCCCCACCAGGCACCGCGCACTCGCTGAACTCGACGCGGCGGTCGAGTCTAGCCAACGTAACCATGCTACCCAAGCCTCGCTATCCGCATGCACGCAATGACAGCGGCACACCCTCTGAATTCAGCACGCTCTACCAAACGGTGTCAACCACGACGACGCCACCAGCAAGTCTGCATCGGTTCGGGTACCCGCTGCAAAACACGACGAGCGCATGGGACGACTGGGACAGCGACGAGGAAGAAGAACAGGGCGAAGAAGAAGAGCGACCGGGCCTATCGTCGTGGATGGGACGCCGCAAGATAAGGAGCCGCAATGGTGGCGGGGCCGGTGGTAGTGGTGGCGGCAGCGGCGCCAAAGCCAGTATGGATCAATACGACAGCTCTGGCGAGGAGACGCGGGAGAAGATGACGATGGCGCGCAAGAGTAGAGACGAGCGCGTGGAGCAGAGTCGGGTTGAGTCTGTGGGTGGTATGAGTGTGCGTGTTGAGCGGCTTGTTGAACCGAGTCGCGATAACAAGGTGAAGAAGCCGAGTGGGTTTGTGAGGGCGTTGAGTTGTGGATGTGGTACTGCTGAGTGATGAGACTCTTTTCTTCTTATCTTTCTTTCTCTCTTTCTCTTTTTTTCTTTCACCTTCTTCTTCTTCTTTTTCTTTTGTTACACGATTACTTTTACCGTTCTTCGGGCTTTTTTCTTTCTTTCCCTTTGTCCTGGGTAGAGGGGGGGGGGTTTGGGCTACTTTTATTTTTCCTATGTCATGGGCGTTTCTGAGATACACGATGGGATGGGAATACTCTTTCTTGGATATATACCCTCATTGTGTAGTGGGGTGTGTTGGAAGGGAGTAGAGAGGTGTTCTTTTTTTTTTCTCTTAACCACAGGCTTGGGGGTTGGTTTCGGAACTTGTATTACTATTATTACTTTATTATTGTCGATGTTATTACATATACATACTTCTTAACTATTAAGCGGGAGGGGATGGGGGGCTACAAATAACAGGGGGATGTTTTAGTACGAGATATCATGTGATTAAAAGTGCCAAACAAGGTAACCCAACCCCCCAGGTGTTCAGCAAGACGAAAGGGAGGGACGCGTGGATTATCATTTGCCTTTGACGGTGTAGAAAAAGCACGGGTGTTCGATAGGTAATATCCCCCACCCCTGAACTTTACTATAGTATGCAACGTTCCCCTCGCCCCAATCTCGAGCGTCTTTAGAGTTTACCGCCTCGCCGAACTCTGTGCACGCTGCAAAGAGAAAGGGCGAACACAAGCCCGACTCGTGTTGGTGAATACGATGGGAAAAAGGAGTCAGGGCAAAAAATCCATTCACTTGTTTGTGCACATCATGTCGACAAAAAAGAATACGATCGTCACTGAAAGGTTACAGCGGGATGTGCCCACCATCATCAATGTGCGCATTTTGTATACACAAGGGGGCAAAAGCCAAACTCACCCCCATCAACATCACAAGATCAATATTTACTATATAAAAAAACGCCGCATACAAGGGGGGGATCTACAACCCGCCCCTTCCCTCCCTTCTCCCCGCTAAGCGAACGCAGCAAGCGATAAGAAGAAGAAAAAAAAAGGTGCCGCGCGAAGCCGAAAAGAGTAGGAGTGCGACGGAGAACACACGGTCGACACGCGGAACCGGTAAAGAGGAGAAGAAGAAGAAGAAGAAGAAGAAGAAGAAGAAGAAGAAGAAGAAGAAGAAGAAGGAGGAGGTAAAAGTAGACCCACCTGGGTGGGAAAATAATTTAGTTTCTCGTATTGTTCCGAATTTCGATACTAAGTAAGTAAACGAGCCCCCCCCCCCCCCCCCCAAAAAAAAACGGGGAATTCATGATGATAGGCGGGCATGCACGACGCTTTTTAGATCATAAGAGTTATTGTTTTGTTAATGTTTTGTGTCTGGATTGGGTTTGATTCGATTGTTTGATGTGGCGCAAGCCAGGCCACGCGAACAAGCTTTTTTTTTTTCGCGGAGGAAGGGAGGGAAGGCGCAATCGGTTGGCTGTTTGGTGGTGGCTGGGCCAGAAAGAGATAGGATAGCAAGGACGGGTCGGGCGTGGCTTGAAGGAAGAGTGCTTATACGGGGGACGCGCGGGCGGATGTCAGACGCCTAAAGTGCTTTAAGGTGGTTTAAAAAAGGGCTGGCGTAAGCGGGCATTTTGGTGGACGGGTGGTCGGCGGCGGGCCGATAGTATTTAGGCTGGGTGGCTGCTAGAGTTTGGTAGGGTAAGTGAAGGGGGGCACGGGGCAAGTGTGTGTGTAGTGTAGTGTAGTGTAGTGTAGTGTAGTTGTTTAGCATGTGCCTACAAGACAGGAGAGAAAGAGGAGCAAGACTATTTTGTCAGGCGGGTATCAGGCGACTACTTAGACAGGAAGTGGGTGAAAGCACGAACCAAGGCAAACAAGGACAGGGAGGGGAGCTGCAGGGCGCGATGGAAGCGTCACCGAAGCATCTCCTCGGGCATTCTGGGGCATCGGCCAAATTTCCATGTGTCTTTGGGAGCATGGATGGAAATAACTAAAGGGCTGGACAGATCAAACAGCTGTGGGGCTGGCAGGCGGCCGGACTTGGCAAGGCGTGTATTGTTTGCATGTTGGAATTTGCGGGCCCAAGGCCAATTTCCCAGGTACGAAGTTTCATCTGATCCAACTCGTGAGGCTGCCCGGCTTTGCATCATAGTGCTGACGCGATCGCCCAGCGGGTGAAGGCGGCGCATGTCACTAAGCTTACAGAGTATAGGTAGGATATGCGGCAGCAGACTATTGTATTTTGATCCGCTTAGGCCACTAGTCGGAGGTATTGTCGTGGTTCATGCTGGAATCCGGCAATTGGCGGAGGTGAAGGGTTGGGACAGCGCAGCAGGACAGCACACACACACACACACACACACACACACACACACAACAGGACAGCGCATGGCCAAATTGCAGGTACTGTTTGCCTTGGTCCAGGACAGTGGATGTCGGCGCCGAAGCCAACGGCATTACTGTTACGTGAGTGACAATGCGAACAGGACGTAGTACAAAGTCTTGGAGGGCTTGGAGTTGCTCGCAGGTTTCTGGTCAGGGGTAAGGCTGGAGGCGCTAGGCCTGAAGGGGAAGTGGCAGTGGCGAGGAAGCTGCTGTGATTGGCCCAAGGCGCAATTTCTGCAGTTGCATTTTGCATGCGGGCGAAGCTTAGCTAGGAAGCGAAAGGCTTGAGTGCAGCCGACCGGCTTGGTTACAGCGCACCGCCGTTGCAGCCGAGCAGCCAGCCTCGCCCGCCCGTCGAAGGAGCAACTAAGTAAGTAAGTAAGCATTGCTATTGTTGTAATACCGCAGTCGGGGTTCGATATAGACATGTCACCTCAAATGCAATCAAAAGGGACAAGCTGCTTACCCTTCCCCCACAGGAGCGTCGTCTGGCCGGCGCAGCAGCTGCCGCTTTCCGTTGCGGTGGGCGTCGTCAGCCAATCCCTGCGCCCAGAAATAGAAAACCCACACGCCCACCCCCCGCCATGATCCAACCACGACGCGGGCCCCTTAAGGCTGCACGGCAACCTTGCATCCATACCGTCATTGGCCCGCGCCTCCAGATGGCCCGTCCTGTCTGTCGTTGCCCGACCGGGGCTCACTCGCGGCCGAGCCCATGACTAAACCTAGCTCACCTGGCCTCGTATATCCCGTTTCCTCCACAGCTACTTGAGCCCACGCTTGCCCGCCTACAATCCTCTCCACCTCGTCCTTCGTTTGTCAACCACATTCGTTCCCCCCAGGACAGCTGTCACTCGTTTCCAGCGTCCTACCCGTGTATCCTACCAGTCCCGGTACCATATCCCCGTAATAATTGTTATTAATTCTTCTGGACTGCTTCGATGTAAGTGCTTTCTTTTCTCTCCTTCCCCCCATTACACGAAACACGTTGGTTGCCTGTCCTCCCCGGATTCACGGCACATGCACATGTTTGGTATCATCGGGCATTTGTGTGTTGCCTTCTAAACAAGTCATGTGTCTTGAAGATTGCATGTCTTCTGATCACATACACACATGACCACTGCACTGTCCATCCCGAACCACTGCAGCACGGCCCCTCATGCACTGCCTGCGACTCAATGTTTTCTGCATTGGCCATCTGTCTCCATGGCCACCTAATTATCTGATGATGCATTGGCTTACACGCGCTCTTCTAGCCTAGTCACAACCATGAGGTCTTCGGTTTACGGCCTTGGCCTGCTCGTTGGCGCGGCCTCGGCCAACATCAACTTCTTCTGGGTCCAACCCACCTGCAACTACACTGACCCGGCCGCCTTCCCTAAGTGTTTGACTGGCCAGCACTGCCTACAGAACAACACGTGAGTTTGTCCATACATTCACTCATTCCATCGACTTCCCATCTAACGACATGCAGTTGTATTCCAGATGATGCCAGTCCCTACTCCAAGGTTGCATCCCGCTCTACTTTGCTTTTCGCCCCTGAAAAGAGGCAAAACAACAAGTACTCCCAGGATGGCAAGTGCGGTCCTCAAAACGGCAACTTGCTCTGCGACCCCAACAGCACAGTCTACACAGGCACCTGCTGCTCCGAGTACGGCTGGTGTGGCAACACCGCAGCCCACTGCTCAACGGGCTGCCAATCTGGTTGCGACAACGCCCCCAAGGCCTCTACTGCTGCCACCCCTGCCAACTCTGCCGTCAGGGACGATGGCCGCTGTGGAAAGGACTTTGGCGGCGCTACCTGCGATGCCAAGGGCGCTTACGGTGGCTGCTGCTCTGAGTACGGATACTGCGGTAGCACCGACGGTCACTGCCTCAAGGCCAATGGCTGCCAGAACGGTTGCAAGGACGGCACTGCTCAAAACGATCCTAAGCCTACTGCCGCCACCGCTACCCGCCCTCCCTCGACCACCACTTCTGGCGAGCCTGTAATGGGAAAGCCAACCACCCCCAGCAACCCCAATGGAATCCCCACTACTGATGGAAGCTGCGGTGCCAAGTTCGGCAACACTGTTTGCGGAAGCTGGGCCCAGGGCAGCTGCTGCAGCATGTACGGCTACTGTGGTAACACAACCTCTCACTGTGGTGAAGGTTGCCAGAGCGGTCCTTGCAACCAGGCTCCTACTGTCCCCGCCCCTGGTGCCAGCCCGGCGCCTGTTGCTGCTAAGCCCGGAAGCATCGCCCTCAAGGGCCGATCCGGTGTTCCCGCTATGCACGCTGGTCTCATGCCCAACGGTCGTGTTGTCTTCCTTGACAAGGTCGAGAACTACACTGAGCTCAAGCTTCCCAACGGCCAGTACGCCTACTCCTCCGAGTGGGACCCCGTCACCGGCGAGTTGGTTCCCCTTGCCTACAAGACCAATGCCTTCTGCTCTGGTGGTATCTTCCTTGCTGACGGTCGCTTCGTCTCCCTCGGTGGAAACGCTCCTCTTGACTTCATTGACCCTACTGTTGGCGATGGTTTCAAGGGTATCCGTTACCTCGAGCGCTCCTCCACTGATGCTTCCAAGAACGGAAAGGCCTGGGTCGAGCCTGGTCAGCTTCTCGACACTCCCCGCTGGTACGCCTCCGTCCAGATCATGCCCGATGACTCCATCTTCGTCGCATCTGGCTCCAAGAACGGTCTCGACCCCAGCAAGCCCGAGAACAACAACCCTACCTACGAGATCCTCAACGCCGACGGTACTCCTCGTGGCAAGAGCTACAACATGGAGATTCTCAGCAAGAACCAGCCCTACTACATGTACCCCTTCATGCACTTGTTGAAGGACGGCAACGTTTTCGTCGCCGTCTCCAAGTCTGCTGAGATCTTCAAGGTCGAGACTGGCACCGTTGTCCGCATGATGCCCGACCTCCCCGGTACCTACCGCACCTACCCCAACACTGGTGGATCCGTCATGCTTCCTCTGTCCAGCGCCAACAACTGGAACGCTGATATCATCATCTGCGGTGGTGGTCCTTACCAAGACATTACTGCTCCTGGTGACGCTTCCTGCGGTCGCATCAGGCCTCTTGATGCCGACCCACAGTGGGAGATGGACTCTATGCCCGAGGGCCGTGGTATGGTTGAAGGTACTCTTCTTCCCGACGGTACCGTCGTCTGGGTCAACGGTGCTCAGGAGGGTGCTCAAGGTTTCGGTGTTGCTCGCGATCCCGCTCTTGAGGTCCTTCTCTACGACCCCAACCAGCCCAAGGGCAAGCGCTTCACCACCGGTCCCAAGTCCACCATTGCTCGTCTCTACCACAGTGTTGCCCTTCTCCTCCTTGACGGTACTTTGCTCATCTCCGGCTCCAACCCCGTTGAGCAGCCCATCCTCACGCCTGACGCTAAGAACCCTTACGTCACCGAGTTCCGCAACGAGATCTACACTCCTCCTTACCTCCAGGGCAACCCTACCCGTCCTTCCAACGTCCAGATCTCCAGCAAGCAGCTCAAGGTCAACACGACCTTCAACATCAAGTTCACTGCTCCCGCCAACGCCAAGCAAGTCAAGGTCACCCTCTACTACGGTGGATTCGTTACCCACTCTCTCCACATGGGTCACCGCATGGCCTTCCTCGACAACACCGGCTTCAAGGCTGGCGCCACTGCCCAGAGCATCACCGTCACCATGCCTCCTAACAAGGCCGTTGCTCCTGCTGGTCCTTATGTCATCTACGTCCTTGTCGATGGTGTCCCTGCCATGGGTCAGTTCGTCCAGGTCTCATAAGTTGATGATGACTGAATTGAGGGTGTGGTGTGTGTTGTTCTTTACTCCTTCTTGTAAATGGAGAGGAAAGAGGGTGGACAAAAAGAGATGGAAATCTATGAGCAAAATGTCGTATTGCACCTGGTCTTGGATGCTTTGAGGATTATCCTGTATGCACCCCTCACCTCGTTTTTTATTCTTCTCTCTTCTTTTGCACGCCCGAGGAGATGTGATCGTTTTGGGGAGTGCGCAGATTAGAATTATTATAGAGACATGATTGTTCGCTCCAACATAAGCATGACAATGACAATGACAATGATGTCGAAGATTGAAGAAACAAATGAAGAAATTTGATAAACATACTTGAACCGTTGGTGTGCTTTGATTTTTAAACCGTGTTGATGATTGAGAGTGGTGATTATGCAACATACAAGTCGATATCTCCTTACCCCTTTGCCGTTCATTCAATCCCTCTTACATCCTTCTTAACCCAAACATCTCAAACATGAACATCATTGTATAAACAAGACATTACATTTTCCCCTCGAGAAACAACAAGAGGAGACGAAGAGAAAAAAAAAGGTCCCATTTTGAATCCATTTCTCACAAATGCAATCAAGCCATGTATGAATAATCCCATCCATGCCCAAAACACCTCCCTCTCCCTAGTATCACCCCCGCATTTTCTCAAGACAAGAGAGAAAAAAAACGATAACAAATGGTGTATACCACTTCACTCCTCGTTCACCACCTGAATCGGCATAACACGCCCGGAATCCACAATAATCTGCAGGTCCAGCTTCTTATCCAAATCCCCATATTCGAGCCTCTTCCACGTCACAATGCGCGCTTGATTCGTATCGATTTCAAACACGCGGAGACGGCGGTGGAAATGGTTGTAGCCGCCATATCCGCCAAATCCACTACCGCCGGCATAGCACATCCAGATTTGAGGTTCGCCGGTGGTAGGGTCCTTGGCGAGGGAGCAGTAGTCGTTTACGTGGTCGTGGCCGCACGACACGGATTTGATGTTGAATTCGACGAGGGCGTCTTTAAAGTGTGTATTGAAGGCGGGGGCGGTGATGGGTTCGGTCCAGTTACCCACACGATCATTATCGCGGTCGCCGTATTCAGGAAGGGGGATGTGGATAAAGGCCATGTCGAGGTGCTTGTGCGTGTAGTGGCGGTGCGCTTCCTTGAGGCCTTCGGCCGTGGTTTTGAACCATTCGATTTGGTTGGGCTTGATCCAGTCGTAGCCTCGGTAGTGCGTTTCGTCGGGCGAGTACGAGTGCGTGTCGAGGAACCAGAGGGTTAGGGCCGAGTGCTTGCTGCTGTGCGCTTGAATCTCGACAAAGTAGTTGCCGACGCCATCAATCGTGTTGGTGCCTGGTTCGCTGACGGAATAGGGTAGAGAGTCGTAGAGATCCATTTGTGCGTGGCGCGAGAGGGTGCCTTCATCGTCGTGGTTACCGAAGATGGCGGCGTAGGGTATCTTGCGCTCAGC